GGCTTCTTCATTAGACTAAGAGAGAGGAACGGTTCTCATCACGTGGTACTTACCGTAGGGGGTGCACGTGAGTCACTAAGATCGACTTGAACAAAATTGGCAGACCTCCATTGCTTTATTGTACTAATCATGTATGCATCTCTTCATTTATTACAATAATATAAAAAATATGTCGAAATAATTTAATTTTGCTAAATTTGTTCTTAATATTTATTCTATTTTGAAAATTCTGTAATTATCTATGTTAGAATAATGCACTACATTTTGTAAGGTAAATGCTTGGCAAATGGGTACTGTTATTTTAAATAAATAGCATAACGTTTTTTTGGGCTTTTAAAGTTCCATTCTACCAAAAAGGAAAATAGCAGGTCATTTATTCGTTTTTTTTCTTCTATGGGAAATATTACTCTTGCTGCCAAGGATTGCATCGATCATATCAACCGGATCAGGAAGATAATGTGAATAGCTCGTGGGTCAGCAACCAAGGTGTCTTCTTCATATTTTAATAAGCTACCGCTGTTTCCATACAAACTGGGTAATGGTTTTAATTAACTACCAGGTTAGCTACAAAATGTCAATCATTTCGATAGCTATGATGGCAACTTGAAAATGTTCTCCTCACGGCCAATTTTTTTTTAAAATGAATATTAATCATTTGCAAAATATTTCTGAGTCCAAATGTGAGCCATACATACTTTTATTAATTTTTTCGATATAAAGATAATCACCAGAAACCCAATCGTAGCATATGATCACAATAATCATTTTTCAGTAGCTTTTTTCTAGCGTCAAGGAATTCTTGAAATTATACGAAGAAACTGTTAATAATTTTTCCCGTTGCCAAAACTCTATCGTAATGGACTAATTTCGTCTAATGTACTTCAAGGCTTTCGCATACTGTGTAATTTTAGAGTAATGTGTCAACTTGTTAGTACAGGTAGTATTGCTAGCACAGACAAATGAAAAGAATGCTAAGTTAGGAAAATTTGATCCTCCTTGGAATTCTTGATAATTATCGTCCTTACTCCTCACCTCGAAGAATATATTTTGCTTCTTTTTCAGAAGGCAAGCACTGAACTCGATGGTCATTTAGGAGCCTGGGCAGCACATCTCTTTTATAAGACTTCGGAATTCCTTCTTGTTTGCTGTGCCTGAGGAACAGTGATCTTAAGGGCAGGGCTGGAACACTGCAACCTTTCTCCGTTTTCGCTAGAATTTCTTAGTGATGAGAATGCACATTTAAAAATTTGCCTGATTTAGACGTTGACAGTCCGATCGAATGAAAAGTCGCTTGGCATCTTTTTTAATTTGCCGCAATTATGGCTTTCTTTTCGGCTCATTTTAATATCTAATTGCTAAAAAATCTTAAGTGCAGAAGAACTAGAAGGACTTTTCTGTTAGTTTAAAGGTGAAATCCTACCTGCTAGAACTTGGCCGTAGAATGTCCCAAACGAATCCCTTGCTTGTCACTACCCAACAAAATCCTAGGATCAATCTACTTGCAGCATCGAGGTGAAGATCAAGGTTGCTGTTATCAGACACTGCTAGCACTATTGTAGAAATAAATAATTTGCAAATACACAACCATATGAGCAATTAAAATAAGATAAATATTAGACACCTTACTCGTCTTCCTCCTATCTAGAAGTTGAAGAATACGAAAAATCGTGAAAGTAATAATTGGACTAATTTTTCTCGTCCACCATCGATGATTCGACGTGTTAGAGCTGCATTTGGGATTAGTGTTTTTAATTTAAAATTTTCTTTTAATAATTTCAATAACTATGATCAAACAATCGACTAGCCAGTTCATGATGGTTGCATGAATAGAGAAGAAGGAAGTGTTGAATAGATACTAGTACATCAAATAAACCAAAATTTCCCGAATCGTAAGCATTTTTCATTCTTTAAAGTTGATAAGGCCTCACAGAAAAGAAGAAATATCAAAGGGAAAAAAATTCGAGAGGGGGGGAAAGATGAGTGTAAACGAGACAGACACAACGGTAGAAAAAAGGTGAGGTGAGTACTGTGAAAGTAGTCGAATATGACATACAGACTATCAAAATGCCTGCCAATTGATATAAATAAATTTGATAAGGATTCAAGGAATTCTGGGAAAGGCAGTGGGATTTTTAAAAAAAGCTTTTACAAAATTGTTTTAGATTATCTTCAAGCCAGACAAATGTTAATTGGATGGGCGTATGATATGTTAGAGCCTTCTTGTTGTTATTCGCTTCCCAGTAGAATCCTTTCATGTCACGAAATTGTCGGGAAGGTAAATTAGCCATTACGAACCCCAAGTAGGCGTCATTGGCCAATAGGAAGTGAGTATAGACTTCAACTATTATCAATTCATTGGGAACGTCTGCACCAATTAGACGAGCGGTGCCCCAGACGTAGGTTGGATATCGAAACAATGGAATCTTTTAAAAAGGCAAATGCAATTAGAACCGAGTTCTTATTAGTGAACCGATCTATACATAACTAACCCTATACAATAAAATGGATGGAATGGTGCTTAATGAATGGGAATGAAGAACATGGCAATAAATGCAGTCTGCTGTTGAATTGATTCAACTTAATGCTGTGTTTTCGTGCCTGAAATTTCTAAATCAACAAAGAAATATATATGCTGAGATCAAGTGAAATTGATCTCAAGTCTGTTAAGTTTAACCCAGGCATCCATCCAGCATTCTCAGCAAATGGAAGTAAAAACAGTAAATTGAAATGGTACCACCGGCAAACATCAGTTAAGGGACTTATCGATAAACGCTAGATGTAGAAAACAAATCGTGAAATTTAAATGTGAAATTTCCTGAAACCGTAAATAAAATGCTACAAAACTGCTTCTCATTTAAGACATTTTCTGCAAGCTGATTTCAAGCGTTTCTCAAAAATTAAAAATTGCTATTTTTTCTTCTGCTTTACGTCGTAGTAAAATATGGTTCAGCATTTACTAACTATCTAATGTCAGCATCGTCCTAATTCTTGGACAATTGGTAAGGCAGAAGCACGGACAATATTCTTTACAAAAATTTCTTTATTTCTCCCAAAAGATATTTTCGGTTCAGTGAAGGACTTAAGTGTGACTTCACGATGGTTGTAACCTATCGTCATGAGAAGATATTATGGGGTATTCAGAAAAATGCTCTACCGTTAGCTAGAACAGTGTTTAGTAATTGAATTCACTACTATGGCAGCTGCTTTGTGTGAAAGCCCGGAAACAAGGAGAAATGGTAAATTTCCCCCCCCCCTGGTTATGTTGCCACTCACAAATGAATGTGGAAGAATAGGACATGGAAATGAGTAAAGATGGCGCGATACAGATGACAGACACAACAATAGAGTCGCTTAGAAATAGGACAGATGAAATGTTTTGGGTGGAAGTATAACACAAAAATGCACAAAATGAAAGAGCAAAAAACAAATGTGCATTCGTTACTTTTTTTAAATAGTCTGACAGATTCCTTTCCCAATAAGTATAAAAATCGAAACTTCCATGGAAGCACTTGAAAACAAATGCAAAAAAACATAAAATGCAACTGAAGTACGTGGAATCTAAGACTGTGCATTTATGCAATGAGAATGTTTATTTATTTCAAATATCAGCCGTTTAGACAGTTTTCATTAGCCCATTAGTTGACTTCGGGCTTCACTGAAGGGAGGAACATCAAAGTGAGTGTGAGTGGTTGAATTTGACATGCAGTGGAGTCATGGTAGTTTGAAGTTAGAAGTCAACTGCAGGTTTTTTGGACTTTCTTGCCATATGAGTATACGTTGCCCGGGGCGCACCGTTTGGAGGTAAGTCTATCGCACACTCCAGCAAGGAGAATGTTGTAATAATTAGAAGTACGGCAATTTCCATTATTTGTTTATTTGTAACGCCTGTAATTAATCAAATTGGACTTTGGGAAGACAATAAACATAATTAGAGATTATAGTGCTGCGAAGAGTGTATTGAAATAAAAACAGCAATGAAGAGAAATAGCCCATTCTGAATTATTCACAAACGATATTATGGCGATAAACGAACTTGCTCATCATTTTTCCAGAAATAGAAGTTGAACACGTGAAACCGTCAAATGATTGAATAGAGCCAAGACATAAAAGGTCTGAGTTGATTCGAATACCATTTTATGCCAGATAAGTCTAGCAAAATGATAGCTTCTAACACATAATTCTGAGCTGTGAGGTCATTTGTACGGGAAATAATTCCGTTCAATAAATTCTCGGCATTAAGTAAGTCTAATTAGCTCCACGTACAACAGATTAGTAATTTGATACAGATTATGTAAATGGATGTCTTTCAAGAATTTTACACGATATGCGTGGTAATCATCTGCGTTTAACATAACGAATTCGATGACAATAAGATTTTACTTCTATGAACTAACATTCATCTACTTGAAATTATACTTTCGAAATCCGGGGATGTGCGATAGACTTACCTCCACGAGGTGCACCCTGGGCAACGTAAACTCATACGGCAAAAGTCTATAAACTGGCAGGTGACTTCAAACTACCATGACCCCACTGTATATCATATTTGACTACTTCCACATTACTCTCATCACCTTTTTTCTACCTTTGAGTCTGTCTCTTTTACATCTTTGAAACACTCTTCCATTTCACCCTCCCCCCACTCCTCTCGACTTTTTTTCACTCTGTTGTTCCTTCCCCTCTATGAAGCCTGAAGTCAACTAAAGGGCTAGTGGCAACTACCAAAACGCCTGCCATTTGGTATAAATAGATAAACTTTCGAAATCGGGGTGTGAGATATACTTCCTCCGCATGGTGCACCCTGGGCAACGTATACTCATTCGGAAAACAAGTCTATTAATTGGTAGTTGACTCCTGACCTCAAACTAATATGGCTCCACTTTTCTCTGCCTTTGTGTCTGTCTGCCTCTTATACATCTATGAATCACTATTCTGTCTCTCCTCTCGACTTTTGGTCACTTTGATGTTTCTTCTCCTCACTGTGAAGGCCGAAGTCAACTAAAGGGCTAATGATAACTACCAAAACGCCTTCCATTTGAAATAAATTTTAACAATCAAGCTGATGTCTGTCCTGAATCTAAATACAATGCAATGTTGCTATTGTACGCGGATGGGGATTTAGTCCTGGTGCATTCAATAGACTGTTTGGGTATGGACGTCAACGTCTACCTTTTGCTTTTCCGAAGCTATTCAAGTCAGTAATTCCTGGAGACACTCCTAAGGGAAGGAGAACTTCGAGTGGTCTTTCCTAAATCTAATTAGCACAACAATATGTCAACTTGAAATGCGATAGCTTTGAATCGAGTTTGAGGGTGATTAATTTTACAAAGATTTCCTGCGAATATATTGAGCATGTTGCTGTCAGGTCTGTTGATTCGATTGCTAATGAATTTTGACAGGGAGCCCGATGAAATCTTTATTGTGAATTGCATTCACCTAACACAAAAGTGCAACTTGTCGTACTGGAGGTTAAATCCCTTAGGATTTAAACTTTTAAAATTTGCCCTTAATTTCACAATTTCATACGTCTGAGAAACACTGCAGATACCAAAACTCCCAATATTGGACAATTAGTCAGCCAATCATTTTTCGCTTAGCCAAATCCATGTCACTACGCCTAGTTTCTTAATAGGGAAGAGTTTATTGAGTTAAAAACCTACTTCTCTCCTCTTTCAAGAAACCAAATGGCTGTCCCTAGATAGGAAGGATGACCAAACGTATTATACAACTCTATTTCTGCAATTTACATTTACTATATGGAGTTATTCGAGTTATGCTCCTCAGCAACTAACTTCGCATTGAAAATCGTTTATCTGTCTCGAGTTAAACAATAAGATTTTACCTCTCTGAACTAACATTAATCTACTTGAAATTACACTTTCGAAATCGGGGTGTGCGATAGACTTTCCTCCACGTGGTGCACCCTGGGCAACATATACTCGTACGGCAAACATGTCTATTAATTGGTAGTTGACTTCTGACCTCAAACTAATATGGCTCTACTTTTCTCTGCCTTTGTGTCTGTCTGCTTCTTATACATTTATGAATCACCCTTCTGTTCCCCCTCTCGACTTTTTCTCACTTCGATGTTCCTCCCTATTGCGAAACCCAGAGTCAACTAAAGGGCTAATGATAACTATCAAAACACCTACCATTTGATATAAATACTTTCGAAATCCTCTGAAGAAAAGTAATTATAAAACTTCTACGCTAAGATTTCATCCTACTTTCCCACTTCTACAAATAATAGGTGAACGAAGCAGAATTAAGTAAAGCCCCAATAGCACCAAATATAAACTAAAATGGAGATAAACAGATCATCATGTCAATCAGTCAAGAAACATATCACAACAAGATAAATAATTGTACAAAAAAAAAACAACTTTTTTCCTTTATTTATAACACCTTCCATCTTGATCGGCTTGGTTAGATCGGGTTTAAGGCATCTAAAATGTCTTTGTCTTAAAAATCACATCACTGCTGCAATTTACAATACGAGTTTTTTGGGATTGTTAGCTGAATTTACATTACAAACTATTTAAAATCTGTCTAATATTGTCTAGAAACCAATTGAAAGAGAAGGAGAAAGGAAAGTGAGTGACCAGAGCTTTGTCATTGTTGCTCGATTCCAAATAGAAGCCCTTCAAATCTTCGAATTGTCGAGGAGACAGTTTGGCCACTACGAAACCCAAATATGCGTCATCGACCCACAGGAAGCGGGTATAAAGTTCAGATATTATCATATCATCGAGGATGTCTGCGCCAATTAGTATAGCAGCTCCCGCCGCATAGGTTGGCAATCGAGACCAGGGAACCTAAAAGGAAGTTATGTGGCTAGGATTTTAGGCAGCCAGTAATAGTTTAATCCTTACCAAACGACATTTCAGTCACCCAACCCCACCCCACTCCCTTAATATCTCCAATCTTATATGCTAACTTTATATTTAGTCAAATTGGGGTGCGTGATAGACTTACCTCCACGTCGTGCACTTTGGACAACGTATACTCATGCCAAAAGTCTATAAACCGACAACTGACTTCAGACTACAAACTACCATGACCCAACTGTATGTCATATTCGACCCCTCCCAGTACTCATCTTACCTTTTCTCTGAGTTTGTGTCTGTCTGTCTATTTCCCATATGTGAATCCTTATTCTGTCCCCCCCCCTCTCGACTATTCGTCACTTTGGCGTTCCTCCTCTCTGTGAAACCCGAATTCAGATAAGGGCTAATGATAACTATCAAAACGCCTGCCATTTAAATTAAATAAATATTTAGTCAAATTACATGATGGTTCTCTGTCAGTTGATTAAGTTGTTTTATTTTATACAAGTTCGAATAGGTTATACAAAATACCACTTTAATACTTAAAAAGAATCTGTAGAAATTCCGCGGATGGAATTTGTTACTAACTACCCCTTGCGCATTATGAAGAGTCAATAGCACACCGCTTGGGAAAAGAAAAGTTATTCTGAGGATATTCCTTTGAGAACACAGCATTCTACCACCAGCCTTAGTGACCGAAATTACCCACTACTATTGGCCATGCATATAACTTGATCATTAATTACGTTAAAAAAATAAATGTTGAAAGGCACTGCACCACCGGTAAGCACTTGAAGGAGAGAATGATATTATTTTCCTCTGTGAATGAGTTCACCTCAACTATTAATTAATGGGTAAACCAGTTAAATAAATCATCATATTTTCAAATAAAGACTGTATTTCACCAGGAAGCAAAAGTTAAGTGAAGAAAGAGGAGTAAAAATAGGCACGCTAAAGTGACATCGATGGATGCGCTGCTAAGGCGCTAAGGAGCCAATCACACAAGCTGGAAAACGTGACAGTTAAACAGAGATTACATTCCGTATTGCATTGTTCAAAATCCAGCAACTATGCATTAACCAACGCATTGGGTGACATTTCAATTAATAGATGTCATAATCTCCCAAGACCAAAAAGGGAATCGGGTAAAATGAATGAGTGCTGGAGTCGGTTTTATACGAAACCCGCCTTCCTCCTCCACCGCGCTTTTATCAGAAACAGCCAATTGACTGTAGTTAGTAAAACGTATAGCTAAGAAACAAGGCAATGCTCATCGATCGCGTGACCCTTGATTTAGGAGACATGCTCGTGGGCTGTGTTACGTGTCAAATTAACTCACTTCTTGTTGTGTAATGGCCCACTTGTTTTTTCGATTGTCCATTTTAGGTCGGATCACGTGTCGCCAAGTCATCATGGGCCCACGAAGCATTTGGCGCAGCTCCTCCCTCGAAAATCCCTTCAAGTAGGCCAACATATTTTTGGCATTGAAGAGGTAGTCATCGTCCATGAAAAGGAACACGTCGGTTTGACCTAGAACGAACAAGAGAAGCACTTAATTTAAGTGACTGTGTCCCAATGTGTCCGAAACATGAATTTGATACTCGTTAATTGGTTACGCCATATTGGTAAGGAGAGTGTAGCACAAAATGATACCTCATTAGAGAAGAACCAGAAAGCTCAAAATGAAGGTTGCAAATGCATTTTCAAACAAAGAGTTTGATAAAATAACTAGAATGATAAAGTGTGGCTAAATTCTAGGGTTATACACCTATTTGTCTACAGTAGCTAGCACGAGAGTCAACGAGTCCCCCACACTTTCCAACAAAATAAGCTCATCAATTTTGAGCGAATTATGGACCACCTTCGTACCATCACTATTTGTTCCGCGCCTGAGTGAATAAACCACTGAACTGGTTGGAAGACATTACGTGATCTCTCCTGCTCTGGCATTGGCATTTCAGTGAGTAATGAGAAAGCGACTAGATTCGACGAATGGTTTTCATATAAAAGTATTTGCCATTGAGAGAGGAATTTCGTGGTAGTAATAAAATTTGATACATAAGTTAGGGGATGAAGAAATTTTTTCATGATTTTTCGTGTTTCAAGTAGTGACGATCTATTTACATACTACATCAGGAGGCATTACTAGTAATCCAACATCAGGATTAATGAAAAGGGGGGGGGAGGGAAGGAAGGGGGTGGAAACTTTGTGAAATAAAATGATATAATCCATTTATCACAACAGACAGCTCTTCAGGCTCAAGGCAAAGATTACTGAAACAAGGGTCCTTTTTCACAATTAAATAACCTCAAAGTTGACTTCGAAAGTTACAGGGAACTCAATCAGTGGTAAAAACTGAATGACAGAAGGAACAATTGCGCATGATAAACACACATGTAAGCTTTAACTTTGAACTAGATGTTACCCACCATAGTTCATCTAATCCTATTAGGTTTGATTTGAACAAAGTTTATTCGGGGTGATTGCCTTATGCGACGAGCAAGTGTCGAAAATAGAGACCACAAATCTTGAGGACGTCAAATTCAAAGTGAAGCCTTAAATGGGGCCAGGTATTGCTTTCCTGATCAATCGGAGTCAGGGTTTATCACTATAACTAACCAAGAGATGAAATGACACGTCGAATATACAAGCAACAGGGTGTGATGTTTCAATAAGGATAATTGAAATACGCACTTTTATAAATGGGCAGAAATTAGCCATAAACGACTAAATATGTGATGTCATAGAGAATATCACTTACCATGACAAAAAACTGAAGCCCATCGATGAATTGTCAAGATCTTATAGGTGAGATTTACGTAAGTATCCACAAAATCACCAATAATGATGTCCCCATATTTATCTTCTTCTTCATACAGCAGTCGCCTGGCCTCTTCTGACCGATTGACCCACATTTCAGCTACATGGCCAGATCTTTCAGGGAGTTTGAGTTCAAAGCCCCCATTCATATGAAATAGGTGACCACCCCCGTCGGTACGAGGCTGTCCCACCGAGAAGACGACACGCACACCGGAAGGTAAGTCCTTTGTCTCCGCTCGAATACGTTGCCGATCGTCAAAGTGGAATACAGTGCTTTTGTAAATCACAATGAGATCATAATTCTCGAGCTGGGAGGTCGATGTTTGTGAAGTTGAATGGGGCGAACAGGCTGTACGCGGAGCTCTTAGGATCTTGAGGTTCGGATTGGTAATCGGTGCCTATGACAGAAATGTGAGTATTAACTTTGATTCATAAAGATAATACTTTATTTATTTATATCAAATGGCAGGCGTTGTGAAAGTTATCATTAGCCCTTTAGTTGACTTCAGGCTTCACAGAGGAGGAACATCAAAGTGAAACAAGTCGAGAGGGAAAGGGGGAACAGAAGAGAGTTTCAAAGATGTAAAAGAGACAGACACAAAAGTGGAAAAAGGTGAGGTGAGTACTGTGAAGTAGTCAAATATGACATACAATGGGGTGAGGGTAGTTTGAAGTCAGAAGTAAACTGCCGATCAATAGACTTTTGCCGTATAAGTATACGTTGCCCAGGGTGCACCACGTGGAGGTAAGTCTATCCCACACCCCAGATAATACTTTGAATGAATCAATGTAAATCGAAAGTTTTAACTTATGTAACTGTAAGTTTAAAATTGCTCTGAATACTCCTTACTATTGAATGA